GGCCAAGTAGATATTAAGGTTGGAAATTTGGAAATGTTTTGTGGGATGCAAACCCTCAGATTTGCCATGAAGATCCATGTAGATCCATGAAGATCTATAGTAAATCTGAATGGAGTTGGAATATGTTAGAACAGTTTTCTGGACACAGGGTGGATCATAGTGGATTGGCTGGTTAGTTCTACGGGTTGCTTGATGCGTGGATTCGCGCATAAGTCCAACCAATATTCTTGGATATTCCTGGATTCTCTCTGCATGCTTTTTTAAAATCAAAATTCAGAGATTATTTGACATCACAAATTTGGGCTTCAAACTCCATCTTGCTACATTTCAAGGTGAGTTTCCCCATTCATTCATCCCCTATTGGATCTATTGGTTTCTTCATTGTCGTTCCACTCATCTTGGTAGTCCGCAATTGTTGATCCCGTTTTGGCAATCTTCTACCATATTTGTTCGCTTTCAATCGCTACACCGGTGTCTTGATTGATGGTCAAGGACTGACTTCAAAGCCCCACTACCTGTTGAGTCATCCAAAAAATGGTCCAACAGAAGTGAACTGGCCGTTGGATAACCCCCCTGCAGATCCTAAACGTTGCAAAGCGAGCACCATGAAGATTGGCACCAACCTAGGCATAACCAGCTGGTTGCTGCTGGCTGTGAGAAAGCCATCCCCAAATATCCCCAAAGAATTTGTCAGTTGAGGATGTTGAAATCACGGATGGGAAACCAGCAGATGAATTCTCAAACAATGGAGCCATCAAACATTCTCGTCCCAAATGGTGAAAATACACGAAAATACAACAATAAAACCACAACACTATTGAGCAAGTCATTTCCAGCGTGGAACGTCGCCGTCCAAACCACCTTTTCATTTGGGGATCACCCACCACCGGTGAAAAGCCGAAGCACGTGGCCACAGCCCAGAAAAGAACTCGCTGGCGATTGGCTGATGTCATCAGCAAAACTCGAGCCGAGTTGGCTTTCAGGCTTTGAGCATTATAGCATCTAACAATGAGAACTGAGTCGAATGGAAATGTGGAGTACATCCCATCAAAATAATCAAAATAGAGGGCGTGGACAGCATTTCCAGTGTTGAATCATGTTGAACCACTCAGAAGAACCCTCAGCTTCTTCCGACCTAGAGCCCAACTGTTGCACTAGTCACTCACGAAGGCCTTTCAAAGTTTGACCGTACAAAATAAAAAGCATGACATTGCAAACCGCCAACGTCTTAGACTTTAAAAACATGTATGACGGGCATGTTTCATCAATTTGATAGGTGGTCAAAAATTCATATACCAACCGTAAAGTTAAAACCCGATGGTTCTTTTTCATCTTTTTTCCACCTGGGATTTGTCACCACAGCTGCTTTCACCAAGTCTTCATTGGTTTTCCATGTCCGAGTATGTCCGAGTTGGGGCAAAGCCTTCCTGGACGACACAAACAACGGGATCAAACTGGACGTACCTCTTCCAGGAAATCATGTTTGGATCAACAAAGTGCTCGCAAGAACTATTCCGAATACTCGGAGCTGCAGTCCAAAGCCCAAAACCCTGAGCCAATGGCAATAGATCTGCTATTCACAGGCCCAATCCCCTTGGCTTTTTGAAAAGATGTTAGATGAAAGGATCACTGAAACAGTGTCTGCGGCCAGCAGGAGCACCATGGATATAAACAAAGCACAGGTACAGTAAGTCATGGAGTCATGGGATCATCAGGGATCATCTCAAAATACCCTGGCCATGACGATGTGCTCAAAGTGCTCAGAATGACTGCACCGCAGCATGATCCTGGCAACAGGACATGGCCATTTTCACCACGCCTGTGCAACAAGACCAGCAGCCATAGCTAGCCCGCAATCAGGGAGCGCGCGGATCGGCCTCCCATCCTGCCCAGCATGTTGAGCCTTGGATATCTTGGACATGGCTGTAGCATGTCAATGCCGTGGGATGGGATGGGCAGTGGAATTTTCAGGACACTGTACCATATGTCAGGCCATATTTTGTGGGGATATTCCCTTACATAGCCCTTACATAGCCCTTACATGCTCCTAATGCTCCTATATATGGTAGGTACCTCCAGTTTAGGTTCCTGAAATGGCCAGAAAGACATGGTGAGCCAAGTCTCGTTGAGGTGCCACCAGGGAAGTGGGAGCAGATGTAGTAGAGAAGTGACACCAATTGGATGATCTCAGGGAGTCGAAGCTGGAAATGTCACACCTTCCCAGCACAACGAAACCCAACCATTCCCAAGCTGTATATTCTGGGCTCCGTGCCGCAAAGATCGCGGTGAAAATGTAGCTCCTTCGGATAAACCTTGGGCTCCACTGGGACTGGTAGGTGCTTCGATGTTTCAACCCCGGGGCACAATTGGGGATCACTATCGCATTTTGATCCATTTGTAAAATTTGGGGGGTGGGAACCAATTTACATCAATTTACTGTAGATCCGCCCTGATTTTGCCTGGGAATTCGTGGTGTCACCAAACCAGACATGTGTGCGTGTGTACCCTCTGGTAAACTAACATAGCTATTGAAAATGGCCATTTATATAGTGGATTTACCCATAAACAATTGTGATTTTCCATGGCTATGTTAGTTTACCGGAGGGTAAGACATGTCCATAAGCCATGAATGTGTTGGTCCCGTTGTGGGTCCGTTCCCCCATGGCACTCCCAGCATCCCCTTGCATCCCCGCCAAGGCACGTAGCCCACAGGGTTCCCAAAAGCCCAAGGCCATATGCCAAGCTGAAGGGAAGCTTCTTTCGCCTCAGCGGCTGTGAAAAATGTGGTTTGCTGAGCCATGGTGAGCCCAAACAGTTGTGAATCTGTTTATGTGACGCGCCGTGTTAAATCATTGGCTCCCATGAGGTCTCATGCTGCTTTACCCTCATTAGGCCTCATTCACATGCGTCATTCTCCTGTCAGTACTCGCAAGTCCGACATATCCCGGGCCCAACAGGATATCCACTGATTTTGGTCCAAGCTTCTGCGATATCTGCTCCTGAGATCGCTGGAGCAACGGCAGTTTTGGGCCACGGCTGGGACTCTGGAACCAAGCTGAAAGCTGATGCATGTCAATCGCTTATGGTGGGCTGGTTTAATGTCCAAAAATATTTTAAAACCACCGTCTGTGATACCTGAAGGCTTGTTTGCCATCATCTGACGAAATTCGATGGAAATTTAAAGAGCCCAATTGATTCCAACATGTTCCTCAGTCCAAAAACCGGATACCCCATTCCATCATATTCCATCCACTGGTTCAGACTGGTTCATTATTTTCATTCATTTCCCATGTTAAAGTTCCAGCTGTAAACTTTCCGCTGAGGCCGCAGCCAAAAAGGCCTCAGTGGCTGCAAAGCGGGAAGGGAAGGCCGTTGCGTGGGATATATTTGGCTTTATTTGATCGGACTAGCTGACCATGTGACCAAAAGAAACAGCTGCCAAATTGGCTGAACAATTCCGAGTCGCTCGAGGACCACTCCTCAGGCAGCGTGCAGCAAAGAAAAACATATCCCACATGAGATAAATAAACACATGGAAAAAAGCACGCTCTTCAGTTTGGGGGCTCTTCACATCACCCTGGCACACTTCAGAATGGCTTGTGACTGGATCAATCATGTTTAAGCAAACTTTCAAAATAATGATCTTCCAAGCGCAGGTGTGCTTAGAGGTGGGGATTGAAACATAACTGTTGAATGATCCAAAACAAAGGAACAACAATTATATCGCAAATCATCATAAACTGAAACACTCCTTTGCGTCACTGTGTGCTCCAGCCGCAGGAAAGACTCAGAAAGGCCACTGCCCCAATCAAATTGCTTCGCGGCCGGGACGCAGATAGATGAAGGCCGACAGCATCACGATGGATCCAGTGGTGAAGAGCAACGAGAAGGTTGCCCTAGGTGCACATGTATGCTTTAAACATCCTTAAACTGTGATATAAAACATGCATTGAGAGACCATCGCGATCTGGCAAGACTTCGGTGATACTATTAATCTATCAAATAGTCACTAACATGTCAAATGATGTCAAATGTCTTTGAACGTCCTAGATGTATTCTCCTGATTCTACAATATGAAAAGCAAGCCGTACTGGAGCCACCATGAATGAAAAATGATGAAACATAAGCCCCTGGCAAGTATACACATACCAACAAAAGTCTCTGATACTCTGATGTTTTCCCTCCTCAATCTCTACCCCGCGTCTTCTGTGATGTGCCACTTGCGAGCCAGCTACGGAGCAATCAACAACGTGGGAAGGAAGTTCAAGGAGAATAGAACCTTGCTGCAGCTCCCATTGGGTTCCCCAATTCTCCCCCACAGGTGACCCCACAATAAAGGTCTCATGCGCTATTCACAGCAACATTGGCAGGGATCCTTGCTGTCTCATGTCCAATTAAGGTAAGTGGCCAGGGCCAAACCGACCGTGAAAAGGCTGACGAATCTCCAAACTCGACATGGATCCTGGCCATCAGAAACCATCCCAATCACCACTGGTCACACTCAGTTCACTCAGTTCACCCAGCATGGCCCGATCCTCACGATGACATTGATGACCCACTTTGCTGCATAACCCTGGTGGTACCCTATAGCCACTGTAGCCAACTATATAATCCACGCCACGCAAAACCATGGAAAACCAGCAGAGTACAATTTGCACAAAAGATTTCGGGAGTGCTCAAGGTTGCCAATGTGGGTTGATGTGGATTGGCAAGGGGGAGGCCATGCAAGCCAAAACCCAGTCGCCCACCACATGCATCGGGCAACTTTTCGCCGCCAGCAGCTGTCTCTACTGATTCTTGAAAATCTAGATGTATGAATTACGTATAATTAAGTCGAGTCATGTACATTTCAACTTATGATCGTTTTCGGCATAGTGATACATTGCGATGCACCATGCGAATCATGTGCCTATCTTGTGCTGCCAAATTGACTATACTTAGTAAACCACCACCATGCTCCACTCCAGCGCGGCAGAGTGAGACATTGGATCCTTGGGGCCTCAGCTGATGCTTTCTACGAAGAAAGCCGTCATGGCTTCCACATCACGTCGTTGCATCTCCTTTTGCAAGGCCTGATCACCTTTGCGTTGCTGCAAGGCACGTAGCTCCTGCAGCTCTTGGAGAGCTTGCTGGAAATTCTTGCGGTAAGGGCCCACTGCCTCAGTCCCATCCGACAAGCGAAGCGTAGCACAAAGGCTGTCATCAGGTGATTGAAAGCTGTTCAGCTGCAAACCTTCTGGGAGCTCTGGAACGCCCCAAGCTTGCAACAGTTTCTGTCTCCGAACCTTCTGGAAACGCGCCTGCAAAGTCAATTGAATCATGGCTTTCAAGCGGCCGTGTTTGACTCTTGCAAAAGCCAGGCGCTTCTGCCTGGCTGCCATTTCCTCCTCGCGCGATGGCAGCATTCCAGCCTTTTCCTTGGCTGGAGCGCCGACCCCTGCCCGCGAAGGCTCTGTCAGGCCTGTAACCTCCGTCCAGTCTTGGATGGCCTTGTCCAAATCGTGATTCCTTGGTGTGTACCACCTCGCGGGCCACTCCGAACATACGATCGGAAGCGCAAACGTAACTCCTCAGCACCTGCAGCGGTGCGCTCTTTTTGGATGGTATCGATAGCTTCTCGCAGCACTTGTCTGAAGTCCTTACCCTCTACCAAACCAGCATGGACACATTGGCGCATTTGCACCAGACTGATGTGCATGTCAATGGCCGTATCCAAATTCTTCACGCATTGCACATTGGTCATGAAACAGGGGAACAAAACAATATATGTATGGTACCGCCCGTCCCGGCTGCTGCAAGAAATGCCTTTCAGCCTAGGTTTCGCAAGACGAGGAGCAGCAGGGGCAGTTGGGGTGTCGCTGTTCATGCGAGCCGTCGGCTTGGGTGCCTTGGGCATCTCTTTGTTATTGACAGCCCTTGCTTTTTTGGGCACCTGAACAGCTTCAAGCTTTCGAGTCTTTGGCCCATCTTTCAGGGCAAGCATCCGCAACTTGCACGGGCGTGACACACTGAGCTTCAACAGAATCTCTTCAGCTTCACGTGACTCCAAGAACTCTGCGAAGGCATTCAAGGCCTCCTCTGTCAGTTTCTCCAACTCTTTCAATGCTTGCTTCTTTGGCAAGCGCAGCAGTAGACAGAAAAGGTCTGCGTGACCCACTGGATCGCAGTCCATCTTCGAGTTTGGCTCAGTGGCCGGCGGTGGCGGCCGTTTTGCTTTCTTCCGTGGTCCGTCAGGGGCTGCCGGGGCCGGCTGCGGCTTGTCTTTGGCCGACTTGGCCAGATTGGCCGGCTCAGCGTTTGATTCTCCATGTCGCTTCTTTGGAGGACGCACCTCCTTTTTCACAGATCCAGCAGCAAAGGAAGACTTATTGGGGCAGCGCCGTAGCTGGTCATAGGCTTCTCGTCTAGTGACATCAATCAACGTTTCGAAGGCGTGGACCACTGCACGGAAGGCTTCTGCGGACCCGCCCTTGTCTGGATGAGTGGTTAGGGCACAGCGGCGGTATGCTGATCTGATCTCATGGTCTGTAGCAGCGGGCGCCAAGTCCAAAGTTTTATAAAAACATTTCTGCCACATGGATGCAATGCACGCAACAATCAAAAACCTGAGCACTGAGCCTGCACTACATCCCAACATGTTCAACGCACATATGTCGCAAGATACCATGCAGCAAAGTTATTAGCTGATTAGTGCAACATTCCAATTTATGGCACAAAATAAAGCATAGTCATTAAATGATTATAAAGTATAAAGACTACCCAACCGAGGTTTACCCATGTTTACCCAGTATCATACAGTGAAGGGTCCGTGATCTGCAATGCTTTGGATGACACCGGATTCCCCCCTGTCCATGGCAAGGGAAGCAGCGCCAGAGACTCGCTCACCTTAGCCATGAAATCAGCCCATGGGCCAGCTGCCAACACAGGTGTCTTCCACCTCCCAAGTTGACATCGACCCCAAGAATAGGAAGGTGGTCTTCGAACTCCCTATATCTGCTAGGGGCTATGATGGGCTATGTTAGTTGGGGAGATGGTCAGCTTCTTTTTGGGAGGTGCAATTATTAAGGACACCACTGGAGTTGAGGCAACTCAACTGGACATCTTCCGGACCTTCTGAGAATCGCACTGGCAACTGACAGGGCAGAGACAGCCCCTGGCGAGCTGAGACCCGTTGCCCAATGGAAGTCACCCTCTTCTCAAGAACCATTGTCGTACCAAACTAGACATGTCGTGTCCATCATATGGATCATTCATCTCTGCATTCTTGGGGGCTGCTGTCTCTCAGCCATTTTGCATAGCTTGTGTGCAGGGCACATGTCTCTGTCCTTTGGTCATTTCACCTGACGGGAAATCCCCAACTCTCCGTGGGACCCCCGAAGGACATAATATGAATACAAGTCACTCTTTCAACACTATTCTCGACTACATCATTATTTCAAATGGATGATATTATCATAATTCATCATACAGATTCATATAGTTGTTTCGTTTATTATTGTATATTGTTGTCAACTATATATCACATCAACTGGATAAAACGCGGTGGATTTAGCCTTGGATTTTCCGGTCCAGGTGAGGTTCCAGGCGGCTAGGCCCACTGCCACCTTCCCGGGCGTTCTGCAACACATTGCTCTCGCCCAGCCTTTCCTTGGTATCAATTACAGGTGGATAAAGTAGGGGATGGTATCCCCACAAAAAAAAAGAAACCTGCTGCAAGTACTCAAATTCTGAAAATATATTAATACCCCCACTAAAAGGCCCGAGTTGTCTTCTTTAATCAGTGAAATCCATGATTGACACTATCAACTTGACTTGATATCTATATCAGTTTATATCATTTAGATCTGTGTTGATGCAGTGAAATCATTCCGGGGATCTAATTTTCCCCCACCTGAATCTAATCTGGGGCATTTCAGCCTCAATGGCAGGATCTGATTGTTTAACCCACGCTTGATCTATGCCGGCTTTACCTTTCTGGTGAATGGCTTGATCCACACTTGTCAAAGATCGTCAAAGGCAGCAGGGACCATCAATCACGCTTGTAACCAACAGCTTCAGTTGATGTTGTTTATCTTATTTATCTTCATGCACGATGTCCTAGCAATCTCCCCTGAGAAAGCAACACATCTTCAAACCAGAATATGGGCCACACAATGAAAAGATACGATACGAAACCAGGCTTTGTGGCGGAGTATTCTGATATTAGGAAATGAGCCCCGAAAGTCCAAAGCCAATTTGAAAAAATGGCACTTGTCCCAAAGACATGCAAAGACCATTTCACGCTCAACGCTAAGCTTTGGAAGTCACGCGTGTTTTGTTTCTATGGCACTATTAGACCCTGTTTAGCCTTGGGTGCACGTTGCAAAACAGCTAGTATAATTCTATATAATTCATTATAATTCTTTGATATTCTTTGGTATTTGGACCTCCTGCGCGGTTGAGGCCGCATAATTTTGAATGCTGCAGGACCGCAGGACCCCTGTAAAGTGGTTTCGACGAAAATTCTTAGGGCTCTGAGGTGTTCAGGCGCCTGTCAAGTCATTGTGCACCGTTGTGCTGTTTTTGTTCACGAACTTTCACTTCAAAAATTGCGGATTCACTGTAAAATATTGCCTTTCACTCTTTTTCACAGTAATTTCTCACCTAGTTTGCAGCATGAAAGCGGCCTATCTCCCTTCCAACCGAAGTCAACATCAAATCCGATAATCACGTGGAAGTGATCCAGCTGCAGATGGTTTGAGCTGGGCTGATGTGATCACCAAGTTGTGCTTTTGGTTTTTTTCCATGATTTATATAACTTGACCACGAAATTCCATTTGCCTTGGGCATTTCATCATCTTGTTTTGCAGAACCCATGGTGGGATGAGCAAATGCATATGATGCGATGAAAGCTCCTACGTGGTGAATCTGGTGAATCAACATGAATCATATGTGATCTCCTGTGGGCATGGCCTTGAATGGCTTCCATAGGTTCTTGACGGCTCATGGCTCAAATTCATAAATCATGGTCCTGGACTCCCAGGGACTCCAGCCTGCAGTGATTGAGCGGAAGACGATGCCGTTGAAGCCACGCCTTGGAAGGTGGCTCAGTCGTCCCAAAAAAAACGGTTCAGGCAGGGGACACCACAGCACTCTTATTGGGTGCCAAACTTCAAATTCATAATTTGGATGTGATTTTTAATTGATTTTACCATAAGGCGATGGATTAGGTCGATTTTAATTGATTTTACGACCTTATTTGGATGAGGCGGTGGATTTGGGCGTGGATTCTGATTTCAAGCTGATTGTTCAAGACTCGTGAGCAAAAGCCCGCAGCTACTCACATAACAAACTCCAACACAACTACTCTCTTCGAGTCACTAGAGTACTCGGGTCTTGGATTTCTTCAGCACAACTCTTCGTTTCAAGATGATGAAATCGCCAATTACCATTTCTGTGCTTCCCATCACCCATCGGCTGCGCATGGATCTTTTTTCCGCCTCGACGGAAGTCACGGAAGACCGCCAAACACAGTTGCAGCGGGGCCATTGCAGCCACCTGCTGAGTCTTGTACCACGGGCTGCTGGCCATGCAAAACTTGGCCGAAAGATGAAACACCCTCCTCCAGGCTCCATGCAGTGAGGAGGGGCTTCACCACAGGGATTCGGTGCATGGAAAGCTGCCATGTTGGCTTATACCTGTTACATCCTGTTACAAGTTGTACTATGGAACCCCCAACCCCTGGCTTTGTAGAGCCGAAGAAACCCTGTCCGCTTGAGGACTCTTAGCTCCAAACATCTCAAATCAATATGGGTTGTGAGTTATGGGTCAAAACCCTGGTCCTCTTGGTGAACCCCTAAGCAAGCCGGCAAATGGATGTTCATCCCCTTCAACTATGATATAACAGAACATAACATAATAGGTTTCAAAATGTTTTAAATGGTTCAACGCATCCTCATACGACCTTACGTGGGATCATAGGCAGCGCACCGGCACCGACTCCGCTGCAGATGATCTTGGGAGTCACTTTGCCAGCTCTAAGAGTTGAAGGAGGTCCTGAACATGGCGCAAAGCTTGTGGTTTCAACAGGACTCTCAGCTGGGCTTACTAGGGATCATCCTCAACGAAAATGTGCATTTGACTGTATTTGACTGACAGAAACAGGGGGAGGCCAGCAACGATGAAGATTTGAAGGGGACATCTGGAACATTTGTTTTATCTCGTTTTGGGGCAAAATGCGGAAAATTTCCAAAGTTGGAACCCGCAAAACCAGAACGGTTCCCCTGGAATCTGCCAGGTAATTAATGGACATGCCTATTCTGTGAAGAGCAACTGATGACCACACATTAGTGACTATCTCTGGTGGGTTTATGGCCACTTAAAGCCACCAATTTCTCTGCACATATCTGAAATTCACCTTTTGCGGATCTCCCAAACCTTTGATTGCGTCTGCCCTGCTCAATGTTAATGGATATTTTGTTAACTTATCTTTATAACATTTTATATAACTATGACTATAATCATGAGAATAAGAGTAACAGATTAGATTTGTACCTTACAATGTAACGAACCGCAGTTGCCATAGACATGCCGTAAATCCATAATATGCTGAATTCCCATGCCAAGAGGCAGAGAGCACCTCGGATCCTTTTAGCCTTCCAGCCAGCTGACCCGTGACACGCAACACTGCGGGAAGCATCTCCTGCAATCGCCGATTTAGGCAGGGCAGGCTTTCACCCGAGTCATTAGGTTGCTTCATGGGAAGATCTGCAGGAAACCATGGTTTTTCCCACTGAGTTTCATGAAACAAAATCCTCTATGCAATTCTGGAACTGAGCCACTTGAAATGATTGGGTCTGGCCACAGCGGCACCATGAGATGAATGTCAGAATTGGATGGTAACTCCCCAAACAGCTGGTTTCCAACGGGTCATGCAAATCCATCTCTACTGTCAAGAACGGATTGGGAAGTTAAACAACCCAGAGGGTGTCTTAGCATCCCAATGTGTTGTTCACAAGAAGAACACATTCTTGTCTTGGATTGAGCAAGTACAATATAGCCATCAAACATGTTCCCAACCAAAAAAAACAGAAACAGTAGACTCAGTAGACACCATTTTTTAAGCCAAAATTGTTCAATTCACTACACCCTGGAGGGGACCCTTCCACATTTTTCCCCTTTCCTCAGCTCCCCATCTGCTCCTTCAGCTCTGTTCGCTGCGCGCAGCTCTGTGCGCCGGGCGGCTCCTTGAGAAGTCGCAGCTGGGCGTCCAACAACGGCGAATGCCGCGCTTGCAGGATGCACTGCGCCAGCTTCAGGGCGGCCTGGTGGCCCAAGCCAGACCACTTGGGGCATGGCTCATGGGAAAACCCACGGAAAAACGATGAGAAAGATTGATAGCCACATGCAAAAAATTGGGAAAAGGAACAAACATGAACACATCCAGTAAACAGTTTGCGAAAATGATGATAAACCAACATAAAAGCATCGGATTTGCTGGAGTTTCCACACTCTTGAGACAGCGCAAACCAGCATCATTTCTTAAGGAATGCTTCTAACATCATCCAACAAAAACATCTGATGTTGGGAGTGGTTCCCCACTGGTCGGGCGATGTTTTAATGAAACTTTCAACAGCCCTGTGGTTCAACTCAGTGAAGTAATTACTGAACACGATCATTCAAAGCCAAATTTTAAACACCAAGTGAACTTGGATTCTTGGAAGTACACCAGCCCATTTTCGGGTCCCCAAAACCACATTACCGCTGTGCTCCATTGCCCCATTGTACAAACATTTCCCGCCCTGATCCATTTGGACTGCATTCACAAAACCATACCCAAAAAAGTTCAAAATAAAACAAAAATGATTTCATCGGATTTACATTGGTTTACCCCACATATCCCACATGGATTTACCTCATCATCATAGCCAGCATTGCTATCTCACCGCACCTACCCCCTTCCAACAACGCGCCTCGTCGCTTCGGGCCTCGGAGCATCCAGTGCTTCCAGCTGCTCGGGGAAAGAGGTCCCCACCCGCTTGGAAGGTGAAGGCATCCAGCGCGATGCGCAAAAATGACCATCCTGGGGCCATGGGCAGGGCCATGGGCAGGGTTGCCTTCGGAAAGTTGAGGTGCTTAGGGGGGTCCGGGCCGTGATCCCCGGAACTATAGCTGCAAAAAGAACTGATATGCTGGGGGCATCTGGCGGCACTCAATCCATGGCAACTCCTTGGGTAGGTCCTATACAAAGTGTTCCGGGCCACCAAACCTTCAAAGTCAATGCTCCCATGTTCTGTGCCAACACAAGAAATCACTGTGTGGGGATGTCTGTGCAGCATCAATGCTCTTTGCAACCACGCTGCCCTTCTCAACTTGTCCGTGATGCCGCTCGTTTGGAAAAGCTGGAGTCCAAATGGCCAGAAGGCTGTCGCAGTTGTGCTGGTTTCCAGTCATTGCCAAGCGCAAGCAATCAGCACAGAGGCTGATGACTTCCACATCACCATAGAAGTGCCACATCACCTCAGCTCTGTCATCATCCCCCTCAGCTTCTCCCAAATAAGATCGAAACCACTTTAAGTCATGTGTGGCAGTGTGGTATCAAAACCCTGATGCCCTGGTGGAACCTTGAGATATCTGGCGACATAGATACTCATCACACCAAAATATGGCATATATGAGGATAGGCTCTGATCTATCCTCACATTGCAATAATGGTGAATCCTTATTATCCCCTTTACAATCCTGATTGTTGATGGTTAAGTCCATCACGGACTGACTAATATCCCATCCATTCCCATCCCATCATCCCCATCCCATCATCGCGCAAGCGGCTCCCACCATGGCCCGCAAGCCATGCTGCTTCTCCCCCGCGCCGCAGCGCGCATAGGGCGCGATGCGCAACTTCACCAGGAGGGACTCCAGCAACTCCACCACCGCCTGAAAAAAATGGCCGCTGACCGGGCCGTAAATCACGGGGCTATGTCCAGAATCTTCCATGTTAAGTAGTAAATTGGTGGGTTAACTATGATTAAGTTTGGGATTCAGTTGATGGTTGTTACATCATGTTATATTGTGTTTAAAGTTTAAAGGTGAAATCACATGTTTATCATATAATCCCTAATTATGGTTATATAATATATCATGCTGAAAGTGCCACAGCAAATCTAATTACCCTGCAAGTCCTTAGGCTGTCCCAAATGAGTCCTGAGGAAAAGTGGGACAAAAAGGGATCCTCGCCGAGAAACAATAGCAATGCCGAGTGTTTACGGCCGAGGGTGTATAGCAATATAAATGATTCTACGGCAGAGAGGTCATGGCAATGTTCACTCACGATTACTCACGATTTTAAAGCCGCTATTTGTACCTTTTGGGGCCTTTACGTACCTTTTAGGGCTCTGGGGCCATACTTTTTAGGATCCTGCCACGACTATTCACGATTACTCACGATTAAGGATGTTATAGCAATGTTCTTGTTGAGTTCCGGGACCTCAAGAGGTACATCATTTGTATCATACATGGACCTACTCTTTTGGTCCACTTTCTACAGATTTTCATGAGAACGTACTTTTTGAGCCCCTGGACTTCCAGGGTGTTTAGATATAGATAGATAGATATAAGAAGTATGATTCCTACATTACTTAATTGGGAGGCTTGCTAATAAAGGCCATCTATGAGAAGTGGGATGCGCATCCAAGTGCTCGCTGACTGTTCCCCAGCAGGTTCATGCCCAACATTGGCCTCACGATCGACGGCGTCAGTGCGCAAACCTCGGAAAAACCATGGTGATTATGAAATCAAACCGCTGAACAGAAAAGATCAGCAATATTCAGCAATCAATTGCAGATTGATCCAGAGTTACAAGGGGATAACCAGCACCAGCACATCGAAATCCATTATATAAGTTCGAGATACAAAAAGCCTCCAATCCATCAAGAAGCTATCCCTATCCAACTATCAAAGTCCATCAGCATCCAATCGCTTCGAGCCAAGCAACACTCTCCACCGGTCCTTGTGAGCTGCAACACCTCTGAGGCTAGGTCGGCAGAGTCTGATGCTGCTTCGACCCACCTCAGGTGCTGTGACCGCAAAATCCCGTGGATTCAATGAACAAATTGACTTGATCATCATCACCATCATCATCATCATCATCATCACCAACACCATCACCATCACCATCATCATCATCATCATCACCATCAAAATCATCATCATCAACACCACCACCACCATCACCATCATCATCATCATCATCATCGTCATTGTCATCGTCATTATCATCACTAACCATCATTGTTATAATAGATAAATGCATGTGTATGAAACATGTACAGTAACAACTCAAGAAAGCTGTGCCAAGGCATGCCATGGCGCATGGGCGTGTTTTCACCGTTCTCCTTCGCTTGCCTTTCCAGCTCTCTTCGTTGGAAGGAGTTCTTTTTCATCCAATCCTCACCAAAGAGCTCCCGATACCAGCTGTCCATGCCAGCATCCAAATCAATCTGAACCTTCGCATGGGTTTGGAGATGTTTGGAGGAATACAATACCCCTCCCATTAAAAAAAAAAAAAACAATAGTTGGGAAGCTTCTGGGAATACGGGCGCCATGATTGGGGGGCTTCTATAAATGGTGTGGATGGGTCAACAGTTGACAACTCTGGGGAGCTATGACAACGAGAAATTTGTACTGCCAAGCTAATTATTAAGTTGTTGACTGGCAATCACTGAAGGGAAGGAAAATTGATTGTGGAGCAAGGGGTCTGTTGTGGTTGTCATTCTCCGTGCTCTTAGTTTGCCTAAAGCTGGAGCCCACACTCAAATCCAACAAGTTTACGTAACCCCCGGCATACAAAATGAAACTAGAAAAGCGCCCTTTCTGCAGTTATATGACGGCCATCTCTTTCAATACTAGCACCAAGTTATTCATTTTGGGCATCTCCATTGCGACTCACTGCGACACTGCGACAGCCTTCTTTCCCTCCAAGAGGTTTCGGTACATAAGCTCCGACACCTCCGATGCAAACAGGGATGAATCTGTGATGAGCATCTGAGTGGCGGACAAAATTACTTACTACTCGCATCTACTCGCCAAGGACATGGCCCAAGTGGGTGGTCTGGTTGTGAAGGTTTTCACCACCAATTTGAACATCCTAAGTCCACTCCCTACTACTTTTGTCTTCCGCTAATTTCGCCGGTTAATCATCTGTTATGTGAGCACAAAGTGAGCTTCAAGGCTGGAATCAACTTGAATCAGCCACTTGCGGCATAACCTTACTCTACTGGAAACATCTGGAAACAACATGAAACAACCATGCAAGGACATGGGAACCCAGCATTTTCTGCAGGAACATCCTCTTCCATTTGCCGACCATTGCCGACCATTTTTCCGGCAGGATCAACAAGTCAAAAAGTACCAATAGCATCAGTGCCAAGGTGGAACTGCTGCCCGAGCCCTAACACCCCAGCTGGCGCTGGCCTGTAAGTTGGCATCAAGCTCCAAGGGAGTCAATCTAGAGGATGCTCCAGGCAACTGGTGAGCATTGTTGATGCTTCTGGGGGATGCTGCCTTTCTCCTCGATTCCCACCACAAGGCCAGGGGAGTTGAAAGTTGGGGAGAGGCACCTGCAAAGCTGTGGATGATTATGGTGGATGATGGTTGATGATTTGAGACCCATCATCCCAACTCTGGATGAATCCGCCATCCCATCCCAGGATGCTGGGGTACCCCTCTGAGCCAAGTGGCAATGCTTCCACCGCAGGCGAGATGCCAATTTGGAAGTCACTCATGACCCCAGTGCCCCAGTCAGGACTGAGACATTGACCCCACTCCGAGGTCTTTTTGAGCCAAGCGAAGCGTGTAAAGCCATGGAGCTCTTTGAGGGGCTGAATGAACACATCATTGTGCAGGGATGATCACTATAGATGACTTCACGGTAGTCCTGCAAAGCTGCTAGATTTATTTAGACTTCCATAGGCCTCCAAGAGTTTCACCGTGTCCATCAAGCATTAGCCAAGCAATATATTCAATCAACATCCATCTTCCGGTGGTCCTAAAATGCCTGTAGCATCCTATAGGTATCATGGTTTCGCTCATGAATGTTTCACCTTTTGGGGGCCCTATACTGTACACCTTTAAGATCTTTAAGTGTACACCATACAAACACCTCTCTTACCAACCTCACTCGCACCATCCCACTGATTTAAGCCAAAAATCTTTGAAAGCTTCGTGATGCAGTTGACTTCATGGCCTTCCCGCAGTTGAGCGATTCGCCAGCAGCTGTGTTGATCACAACTCCATCAAGACTCTGATATTCAAAGGGGGGCTCCCAAGCTTCAACCATAGGATATTCATCTGTTGGCATGGCATGTTCCAAGATTTTCATCCTGAGAATAGAAGGGGACACCAGGACACCAGCATTTTTCAACATTTGTCCGTACATTTCTTGTGTTTCTGATGTTTCTGGTGGGCCTCTGCTCTTCCAGACCAGTCTACTGACTTGGCTCTTTCCACTCCCTGGCGCCCCATGAGATCCATGAGCGAATAAACACCCACAAACATCGGATATCGGATGTGAATTCAAAGAAGGTCATGCATTTATATTATACATGTATATATATAATATAATATAATATTATATCATATTATATATATTATATATTATATTATATTACTTACTGTATGCTTATGAGGTTTAATTGAAGATATTCAGGTTCTGAAAAGCTTCTTGCCCAGGTTTCCATTTCCCAGCAGAATTCGAAAAACACAAAGCAGCGCGTCGGTTCAGCCCCGTCTCGTCTTTGACAGCAGTGCCCAACTCAAGCATTCAGGATTCAGGCATGCCAACAAAATGGCGGAAACACATTGCAACGCTCGATCTCTGGCAGTTTGAATCTGCTTCAATCTTTTTCACCAACAGACTTCCAAACATCTTTGTGAGGCAACAAGGCTGGCCTGAGACATGTGCTCGCTGAAGGAGGCACCCGCCGCGCTGGCAGAATCACCCACCTGGAGATTGCAATGTATTGTTGTCATTTAATGCGGGTATGCCGCCATGCACATCTATGCTGCAGTTCTTGAGAGACCCATATCGGTCATATCGCGATCCAAAAGCCCAATCCTTTTCAGAAAGCAAAGGAACGTCGTTAATTTGACAGCTGCACCAAAATTAGAGGCACAGGCAAATAAATAAAAACTCCATGAATCTCTCTCTCTCTCTCTCTATGCTCTGTGAAAATCGGTGCCAAATCGCGAGCATTACAAAATGCACCCAAGTTGATCCCAAACCCAGTTGCTACATGCACTGCTTGCCTTCTGAAAACCTGTGCTCATTGACTCACGCACTCCTTGCACCTGGCTTCACACATGGCTCTCGGATCCCGCAACAAATCTTCTGATTGGTGGTGAACGGTCGTGAACAAATTGCAAACCATCGATGGGAGGTGACACAAGTGATACCAAGGAATTCGTCACTCGGGGATAATTGCGGATCATTGATGATCTGAAAGAAGGGTTGAGCATGAACAAACTAAAACCACCAATAACATTCATTCAAGAAACAACTTTTCATATGGATTGACATGTCTGTCCTTAGAATAACCTAAATGCATCTATATGCTGAGTCATTTCTATATATCCACCGGCCATGTTCATGTCACTTCGCTGCGTGGTCTTCATTGCCAGTGAGTTTCTAAACACTGTCCAAGCTTGAACTTTCGCAACCTCTGCAGAACCACAGTATCTTTACACAGCACTTGCTGGTGACTGCTGGTGGTCACAGGATGAACAAATATGCAGCAAGACGTGCCTGCTGAGTCCAGTCGATGGTGCGGGCGTGCTGGAAACCCTGCAAATTCAGCAGCGAGTTTGGGTAGTGTAGAACCAGGTTCATTCTTATGTCTGGTAAGCTTGGGGAGTTGTGTTTTGGGTTTGCAGGAGTAGGGGGTTTGCCCCAACTAAGCATGCACGAGGGGAAAATTCTGAAGGATCTGATGGGTTTCAGCTGTTTCAAACATCCTGATCCAGTGGCAGCCCAAAAAACGGCCGTCCCAACGTGCCTGTGTGAGGTTTTGTTGTGCCTGCCTGGCATTGTTCTATGTCAAAAAATGAGGTCAGCCGCCCGGGTCATTCCAGAAGATGTGAAAACTATGCGACTATGTGGTTGGAATGTCTACCTGCGTTACGTGTTTTTCATGCGATGAGCCATGGGAAACGGATGCCGCTATGCGGACGTGTTGGCTGTCAAAATGCCAGGGCTGACCAGAGGCCAAAACAAAACAAAACCTGTTGATGGATCAATCAACCCGCAGCAATCGTGCATAAACACTATGACATGCACAAGACACGCTTCTGGCTAAGGGTTCTCATTCGGAAAGCATTTGCTGAATCGTCTCAAACGTCTGGAACAACGAAATCCCCTGGCTTATATTCAACATGATTTAACATTAAAACCTAATGTTTCATTCACCATCAACATGATGTACATATGGGTCACATGGGCCCATCCCCATAGCCAAACCCATCTGCCTGGCCCAAGTACCCAAGCGCTCGTGCATCTCCACCTGGACTTGATGGTTTCTCAGGAGTTGGATATCTTGTGTACCCATCCACCTGATCAACATGGACCCTGCTATCACCATGGAAGGATTCCTACCAGTGTCCACCTGATTTGTTGCAGACCAGCATTGTAAAAGCAATGATCTTAAATGAGATCATACGTTCCATGGTCAAAAAAAAGTGGTATGTGATATGGTCATCCATCGCATAATCCGAATCATTAGGATGGGTATGTAGATGGATTGATGACCATCTCCGAATATGGGTATACAATCCAACATTTGACACGCAGCATGTAGAGTCAACTACACTCACCTGTCCCTGGCACTGGTGGTGGGTACAAATGAGCCGTGTGAAATGGTAATCACACCTAAATAGCCTGCACACGACAGGTCACAAAAAGTTGTGCAGCCAACAAATTCTGAATGTTGACCAGTAGCACATATGGGTAGTGCCAATGCTTTGCCAAAACAACATCATAGAATCATAGAGAAATCGAATCTAGTCTCAAAATCTACTGTAATGGGTAACCATCATTTTCTCTATGCAAACTGGCCACAAATGAAGGGGGGAACACACCTTTCTCAAACAAACCCAAATATGACATTGTTTGTTATCTGTATCTCACAGTGTGGCCATCTTATCATCTTATCATAGTTCAGATAGGGATGTTGGCAATCTTATCATGATTGAGGTAGGAGTATCGGAACCATAAAATGGTGGTAAGTTATATGTCAGATTGCTATTTTACTGGAGTTATGCCAGCCATTTTTCAGAAGATTTAATCAGCTTCCTCCAGTAGCCAAGCTGCATCTGTCTGTGCCCCATCCGTAGGTCTGGACCTGAGTGTTTGTTTTGATGTTTTTCGTAGGATGTGATCGCTATGATTGGCGGACTCTTAGCGAAATATGCATGTTCACTGACTGTAGGGTAGAGTATGTTAATTAGCTTCTGCTTTGAAAGGTGGATTTATCCCATTTGATGGCCACGAATTCTTAAAACGATGATGATTGATTAGATTGATTAGATTGATTGGATTTGTGGGTGACCCATGGTGACCCATGTTCAGTCAAGATGATATCTGAGATCTGTGCCCATCTGCATCCAGGATGGCACTCCACCATC